ATAATTGAAATTCTGTACATTACTTTTGGAAAATAAAGCTGTTTACGCGCCCAAATTGCATTGCCAAAATAATGAAAAAAGTTTTTTTATACATGCTTTTTTTTTACTTTCTGTTTATTTCAATACAGTAATACGCAAACTGTTCTAATGCACTTTTTATAATTTAAAGTGGCATCGTTTTGCTAAAAAATTTATCGGAATAATTTGTAAAGGTTCCCCTTTCACAGTATCATTTAGGGCAGATTTTATACAGTTCGAGCTAGCAAAGCAAAGGTGAAAAGTCATTCAAATGAAAAATTATTTTGCAATGCAGAATGCATGCTTTCTTCAGATCGATGTCAGAATTCAGTTATTCCTCAAATTTCTGTTCTTGTTTATCACTGCTGGCAGCGGTGCGTCGAGAAAATAAAGAACTAATCTCACGATATACTGTTGCATAAATGGCGGAAGCCATGAAGTTGGATAGAAGCTAAAAGCAGTAGAAGCAAAAACCGAAACGATGAATTTTATAGTTTTCAGTTTTAACCAGAAGCTCTCATTTCATATCTTTAAATCACGCTAATATAGCCCATAAATTCTAACTTAAGTTAGTTATTAATTACTTCCTATTTTACAAGAATGTGAAACTCACAGAAGTAACGCATCCCAACCAATTATGCTCGATAATTTTGGTCGTCTCGTAACTATAGCTTCGTAGTAAGAGTTGATTACCCACGTCGTATCTTTGGATAACATTTTTGATTGAAGATTATTTACAAATACTTTTGCTTAAAAAAAAAACAAATGGACGGATCTTTTAAATATAAGATATATGACTTCAAAAAATTAACCTTAAATACACTCTAATTTCTGTAAATCTCTCGTACCATAACGGTACATACATTCCGATTTCACGTAATGCACATTATGGTTTTCCTAGAATTACGTGCACATATACAATCGTAAATTGCTGAATGAGTTCTTAAGATTCAGAGAAAAATACCTTTGTCAATATAATCGTGGCCATATTCATCGCGGAGATCTTCTGATGCTCTATACCAAACTGTGTTGATCATATTTTTTATTCCCTGAGTCTCTTGCATTCCACTTAGAAAGGACCCCGGCGATATGGTTATCACTTGTACTCCATACAATCCAAGTTCATGTCTTCAAGCCAATTAATTTATGAATATTTCGTTATCGAAAATGGGACATATGTTCACATCAGTTTCTTCATCATTATATAAAATTCTGATGAAATTCACACAAACTATACGAAGTCGATAATTTCATTAGCAATTTCAAACCTGATAACATCGGTGTAAGCTTGAAGAGCACACTTCGATGAACTGTAAGGACCATAACCAGGTACACAAACGAGCGCGGCGCTACTTGAACACATCACTATTCGGCCTCTGAAACGATTTTTTTCGAGAACAAAATCAATGCAAATTAATAACAGAAGGAGGAAAAAACACTTGGGTTCTTAAAAATAGAGATTTTGTATATTTTGATAAATATCGTGGTGGATCGAATGAATTATATGAAAGGAAATAGACATGAAATCTGAGATTAATTGCATTCATAAAAACTCCCAAAGATAATTCTAAATTTTTAAAATAATTGAACATGCACCAACAAATATTGCAAAATTTCTTCCTGTGCACATACTTTTTTAATAGATGCTGCTCGATAATTCGTCAAGCATGTAAGAAAAAATATACATTAGCAGCACCTGGATTTCTTGATAAGATCTCGAAATGTTTGTGTTACTCGTATCACGCCACACAAATTCACATCCCATACTTCTTTATAATCATCCAAAGTTAGAAAATCATCGTAAAAGATATTGCCCCGCACTCCGGCGTTATTGACTAGCGCGTGGAAAACTGAAAAAGAATAACATCTTCTTTTTATTATTTACTTAGACTCTTGACTCTTGACATCAGAATCCACTTCCCTTTTTTTCTAAAATTCCATTCCATTAAATTTTGACTTACTTCATTTCTTGAATACAGAACAGAACATCTTTTAAAAAAAGAAAATTTATTTCGTCACTTTCGGATTTTTCCGAGAGATAATTTTAACAAGCAAAAGAATGGGAAAGAAATGTTACAATCGTTTGTGATTGACAATTTTTTTATAATTATCAAAAACAAGGAAATCATCATAAAACTGATTTCCTCGTATACCAGCATTATTGATTAAAGCGTGAAAAACTGGACATGAATATCTTCAAACAAATGTGATCTTTCCTACGTTTGATATTTTTGTTAAACTTTTCAAATTTCTACCTCCTTTTGAATTTAGCCTAAGAAATGCTTATAAATAAAATGACTTCTAAGCAACACTAACATAGCTCGCTGAAAACTTCTGAATTTAACTTTCTCAATTTTGGACTAAGTATTTCTTTAGCACAAGTTAGAATATTTATTCACTATAATCACTTTGAACTTCTTGGGAAACAATTTCAAGCTCGAGGGATCAAGAAAATGAGGGAGAAATATTTGCTATAAAAATAATCACTATGACAGAGATGCAAACCGAGATTTTTTTGCTTTAAAACCCTGTCCACAATTTCTCTCGATTTTCGAACGCTCTCGTCATCGGTCACATCCATTTGAAATGCATACAATCGACCTTGGCTGATTGAGTTGTAGCTTTCCTCTAATTCTTTTACACTCTGCAAACTTTCAAATGAAACATATTGAATGAATGAAATGAATTCTAATTAGCGATTTTTTTATTCCATGTAAAGCAGCGAAATGAAAACTTTTTCTTTAATTTGAGAAATTATTTTCCCACAGCTGACGAATCAAATAAAAATGATTAGGAAATGTTTGGATAATTTAGAAGCATACAATGGCACGACGGCATCCTGCAAAAACTGTTAGGCCATTCTGAAGACATCGTTTTACTAAATCTCTGCCAAATCCTGGAAATTATTTCTTCTCTTTCAAACTCTTTTATGATTCTTTGTCTGTTTCTTCAAATCATCCCATTCGTGAACTATTCCGAACATCACAATTAACGTTCCGACTACAAAAATCCTCACCGTTTCCACATCCGGTGATTAGTACCGCTTTTCTGTCAATTTCACTTATTGTCAATTTGCGGCCCAATAATCCGTAA